ACGGCACCCTTGTAAAAAGGATCCTGAAAGGGAGCCTAATTTGGAGAACTACCCACCCTAAACCCTAAACCCTAAACCGTGTAAAAAGGATGCTCCTAATTTGGAGAACTAGCCACCCTAAACCCTAAACCCTAAACCGTGTAAAAAGCATGCTCCTAATTTGGAGAACTACCCACTTGCATGAAGCCATTCGTGCTCCAGGTTTGGCCATCGCTTGGGGTGAGTGGCACCGAACTTAGCCGCCGGGGGTGTGCTGTTTTTGTAAAGGGTGACCCGGTTTAGGGTTTAGGGTTTAGGGTTAGAGTCGTAGGGTTTGGAGTTTCAAGGATGCAGATGCAAGCGGGTTGAAGGATGAGGGGACGGAGGGTCCTGTGAGGTGGCTGTATTCGGGCTTAGGGTTGAGCAAAGATCATGCCCAAGAGAGAGCTGGTCCCTAAACTTTAAAACCCTCCGGAAAAAGAAAGCGAAACGTACACCCTGAAGCCACCCCACATGACGAAACGAGACAAAACAAAGCAAATCATGATTAGGACCCGCTGGAACTAAAAGCTCCATGTCTGGCGATCTGGAAGTCTGCCAAGCTCAGCTAAACCCTAAAGCCCTAAACCCCTAAACCCTAAGCCACTAAACCCTAAGCGACTAGACCCCTAAACCAATCATAGCCCCGTAATAGGTTTTGGGCTATAAGTTTACCTAGCTTTGGTGGGTTTAACCACCTAAACCCTAAACCCTTAGGTCCAGGTATCATCCCTTTTCAAGCCTGCCTTACATCGCGATATGCCAGAAGAAAGGAAGCCCAAGAGCTGCTTCCAAGGCCAACCCTAAGGCGACTTAGGGTTTAGGGTTTAGGGTTTAGGGTTCAGTGTTTAGGGTTTAGGGTTTGGGGTTTAGGGTTCAGGATTTAGGGTTCAGGGTTCAGGGTTCAGGGTTTAGGGCTCTGATTCCAGAGCCATGCAACTCATCGCCGAACTTCTCCTTGAAAAAAAGGCAAAGTCTAAATCCATCCCTAGCTGCTGCTTATGTAGTAAGTTAGTCGATGAATGTCCCTGTATGATCTTCGATGGCCATAATATTTGTTTAAGTAATGTGGCTTTTCCACGCTCTCCATGCAGTCTATAAGCTTTGGCCAGTCTGTTCCTAGCAGGCTTTCAGCAAGTGTTGCTTTGCGTGGAGGTGTTCAGGCTTCCGCAAAAATAATGGGTTTAGGGTTTAGGGTTTAATTGGTGAGCATGAACCGCTGTGAGAGCGACACTTGCCACTATGACGGCAATCTAGTGGTCATGACACCAACCAGCCGACCCTCATCCGCCCAACCCGAAATTGGAATAGTCTTAATCGCCGTCTTACAGTCCACATTACACCTACAGTCTCCGCGGTAGTTCCTTTTTTTGGTATAACCAGTTTTCCATTAAAGATCCTATAAGGTGACCCCAAAAAGGAACCACACTGGAGACTAGAGGCATAAGACCTGAGGCTGCAGTTTCCGATCAAATCGTTCACGGCGCTCTCCATCCCGGATGCCACTCGCACATCAGTGCGGGTTGTCGCTTAAGGGGGCAATTGTCAGTTGGTGTAATGTGCAGGGTATGTCGCCTGGGCAGTTGCGATGTTGAGCGGGCTTAGTGCAAGTAATAGTATGGGGCCCTTAACAAATAGTGTAGTGTTTGGAATATAGTATACTATGATTATAATAAGGAGTCCCCAAAACCCTATTCTGATTATTAAGGCCTTACATTAGTGTTGTGCATGCTCTTCAGCGCTCGAGTTGGTTGTTTTCATAGACCTCTCGAAGCTGCCTACTTAAAAAATCCAAATGTGTCTTTCTTGGTTTAGGGTTTAGGGTCTAGGTTTTCGGGTCTAGGGTTTAGGGTTTAGGTTTTAGAGTTTAGGGTTTAGAGTTTAGGGTTTAGGGTTTGGGGTCTAGGGTTTAGGGTTTAGGGTCTCGCGTCTAGGGTTTAGGGTTTAGGGTTTAGGGTTGCTGCTATCTGAGAAGGCCCCACACTGTGCCGCCGATTGCAGCATCCTGACAGGGCTTGTGCCTGCTTTTGCAAGGAGGGACCCTTAATAGGGCTCTCTTGCGTAAGGGTCCGAGAAGTTTCTATAAGGCCTCTACAAGGCACTATGTCATCCAAGCAATCCAAGGACTTTAGGAGGGACCCTTAATGGGGACCCTTGTAGGTTATTGGGGTTAATATGGAGACTACGTGGCTATATAAGGGGTATATAAGGACTATACAATGGTTATCTAAGGTACTGGGATTGTCCCTATTAAAGGGTCCCTCCTAAAGTCCTTAGAGAGTCGTCTGAATTCACCAGATATGGCACGCTAGAGGAACTTGAAAAGGCCTCACCAGAAATCTCCGACACTTCAATCAATTCAAGAAGCCCTACGTGGGCCCTGGGCCTTAAAAAGCCCGAGCCCGAGCAGCACAAAGAAGCCTTAAGCCCTTCAATTAATGTAATGTAGGGGCCTAAATCATTACCAAGACTATTTTTGGTGGCTCCTCATTAGAATTACAGTATTTATGGGCCCCCAAACCCTATTCAAATCATTAATGCCCTATACTTAAAGGATCATGGGACTTAGTAGAAAAGGTTATAATTAGGGTAACTATACTTACAACCCCAATTAGGGGACTTATAACCTTACTTACTAAGTCCCATGATCCTCCAAGTATTGCTAATTCGAGTTTGTGGCAGTCTGTTCGGACCGCTAGTCCCGGAGCTCAATCGCATCAAGATCCTCACACCGGAGCTGCGAATCCGCAAACCGACAATTTCTACAACCAGGGGATGTAAAGTTTGGGTTTAAAAATAGCCTAAAGCCTAAAACAGAAAAGCCCTAAGCCCTAGATATCAAGTTTCCTAAACCCTCTAAGCCCTAAACCCTTCAAACCCTTTAGGGCCCAAGACTTGGGAGTTGTCGAATCCTCTAAGTCCGCACCGGAGATCCCAAGGTGAGCCGCGAGGACTTGGAGGACCTGTATCCCATAGCCTTTGCAGCTCGGTGCAAAGGCAGAGGACACCCTAAACCCCTAAAACCCCGAAACCCTAAACCCAAAGCCTTAAACCCTAAACCCTAAACGGGTGGGGGGTGTATGAGGAATTAGGGGTTTAGGGGTTTAGGGGTGGGAGGATTTGGGGTTCGGGGCCGAGGGTTTAGGCTAGAAGGTACCCCCAACCTATTCTAATAATTAAGGCCGCTATATTAGGCTGTTTCCAGTTAAAGCGCTTGCCACTGTTTGGGGCCCAGGCTGTGGGTTTCAGAAAAACGCCAGGGCCAGGTGTCTCTACATTATAAAGTCTAAGGGTTTAGGGCTTCAGGCTTCAGGGTTATTATAGAGTCTAAGGTATTCTAAAGTCTCTGGGTTTAGGGCTTTAGGGTTATTATAAAGTCTCAGGGTTTAGGGTTGTAGGGTTTAGGGTTTTAGGCTTCTTATGAGGTCAAAGGGTTTATGGTTTTAGGGTTACTATTAAGGTCTCAGGGTTTAGGGTTGTAGGGTTT